AATTATATAATTTTGATGTAAAATTTTGTAATGATGAAAATAAATATGTAAAATTGTATAAATTTATCTATAAATTCAACACTGTAATTTTTTGATGGGTAAAATAGACAATGTAAACAAATTCAAACATTTTTCAGTTTACAAAAATAAATAATTTTACTGATTCTGCTTTCAGACTTCAGCATTACCTTTTATTAATCAGAAGTAAAATAAGAATTCAGACTTCAACACCTCTTAAAATAAACAAACAACACCTAAGTGATTTTGGTACATCAAGGAATGTACAACTTTCGTTGCATAGGATAAACAATCACTAAACGACCTCGGTATATTCCACACTGAGGTAAATCATGGAGAATAAGATGCACATATACCTTGCGTCTATCAAAATGGTAGATATGACGTTTACGTAAAGACAACTGTCTTGTAAACAAAAACAAAATACAAAAAGATCAGTGTGAAAGTATAAAAACTGCGACTAACATACAGTAAAAGTAGGAAAAACTAAGACTGACATACAGTGTAAGATTAGACACTACAATAAAATTAATTTTATAGGACTTCTGAAATAAATAAAAAAGCATCCTAAAAGAATACTTTATAGGACACAAGTTTAAAGGACCAAACCAAAAAGCGTCTTATTTAAAAGCGTTACAATAAGTTTATAAGATACTTTTAGACGTTTTAACTAACTTTTTATAACGCTTTTAAAATAAAATGTCGTATTAACTATTTTATAAAACACTTTTGAGAAGTGTCCTATAACCCCGTCTTTTTATAGGACATTTTTTCGAATAGTGTTGTATAAAATAGTTAATACGACGTTTTATTTTTAAAAAACTATTTAATAAATTTATTAAAATACCAAAAAACATTCTATAAACTTATTGTAACAATTTTAAATATGATGTTTTTTGGTTTCGTCCTAAAAACTTGTGTCCTACAAAGTATTCTTATATAATGCTTTTTCATTTTAGGCGTCCTATAAAATCAATTTTGTTGTAGTGAGTGATCATTTGCTGACTTAGGCGGGACACGGGTTAGGTCTAACATATTTTTCTTGTCCAATAGACCTAATATAGCAAAGCCAAGCCCATTTTTGCAGGCACGAGAACTTGTACGGGCCAGGCTTGGCTTACAAATGGGCTAACGAGCCTAAAAGTTTACATTTAAAAAAACTTATATAAAATGGTAAGAAAAAATAATTTTGATTTTAATCATTTATATTATTGTTGTAATATTTTCTTTGTTTATAATTATTTTTATAACCGTCTAGAAACAACTCTAAGGGGTTGTTTGTTTACCTCTTAATAATTCTGTCAATAATCAGTTTTTGACTCGTTAAGAGGTGAATCTTGTTTGGCAAAAAAAAGTTTGTCTCTTAATGGTTCTAAAACCCTCTGAATGATTTTGTCTTCTGAGCCTCCTTTAACCATTCAAAGCCCTAATTTTGTTGTAAATAATTACCAAACAATTATATTTTATCTTGTACTATATCATGAAAGTCTCTTAATTATTTTGATAATTTAATCATTCTGCACCATACCATTCAACAACTGTCAAATAGAACTAATACTGTAATCATATCAAAAAGGATGATACAACATGATTCAATGAAATGCAATTTCACTTGGGCCATTTTCAAGAATATGAAATTTGGCATATTCAAGCTTATGTAACACTCTAAAGATGCAAGAAAATTTCCAATATTATTGCTAGAAACTTACCATAAAACCATTATTGTTGCCATTTTCGTGTAGTCGAAATCCACCTTACCTTCTCCCGTCATCCCATTTTCGTATGTAAAACAAGACGACACGTTTTACGAGTACCATTAAGACACAAAAGCTACAGATATGCGATCAAATTCTATAATGCCATTTTCTCAATCGAACAGTTGTCACCAAGAATAGAGCCATTTAATGCAACAAGTAGTTGTAAGTGAATCAATGGCACATGTACTAAGCATTATAATTTTAATGGAAATAGATGATTCAATAAAGCAAGAAGAGTGCCTATGGACACCGATGTATTATGGCTCGTAGACCTTGGTCCTGTTATGTGTGAAGCAACTACTAAAGTGGCTTCAAGTACCACAGCTGTTTGGCAAACTAGCTGAAAAGTTAGTTATTAGCTGTTAAAATAGTCATGTTTGATAAAAAATGTGTGATAATTTAGATGACAATGTAAAATGATCTAAAAGAACATGTTCAAAAATTAAAAGAAAAAAAGGGCATATGATCGGAAAAAGGCCAACGGATTCAAATGTTACTTCAAGAAACTTTTCAAAAAGTTAGTGACTTACCAAACAAGACTTTTTCATTAAGTTCAAAAAATAAGCTAGCTTATATTTGGCCTTAAGATGGTAGGAGGAGGATAAAAATCTCTTATCCCAAAATCATACGTCTCATCCCTCTCTCGTCAATGAAAGTAGGATACATCAGAATTTTATTATTATTTTAAATTTATTTTATTAAAGTTTACATTCTCTCTAATCTCTAATGATATGGATTAATGAACCACAAGGGTGGTGTCTGATTGGTTTAAGCTTGGCTCCAAAGGTCAAAAGTACAAGGGTGGTGCCTGATTGGTTTGAGCTTGACTCCTCAATTTATGGAGGGGTCAAAATATAAACCTTCACTTGCGGACAACATTTTTTTTTTTACATTTTAACGTTTCCGTAAACTGAAGAGGTGTCACTTACAAACCTAATAATATTTTAGGAAAAAAAAATTACCAAGGGGTTGTTTACCAAATGCTTATCGGCAAGAGTCATCATCCTCACTTACCTTGTTGGGTAACATTCTCAGGCTATCAAAATGGATTATCAGTAAGCATCTCTTACCTAGTAAACACTTACCAGGTAAAAGTCATATTCTATACTTACCCGGTAAGATTTTTTATCCTTGTTCTACCTCTCACCTACCATTCTATTAATTTATTTGAGATTTTTACATAGCTGTCTAATGCCTCACAAACCTCCCCCAACCCACCCACCTACGCCCCCTAACCCTATAATTGAAAAGGTAAGCAGATATTTTTTAGGATACAATTATAAAAGCAAAGAGCCTACCCTCTC